AGCCCTATTCCTACACGTTGCATTTCAAAGTAAATCTCAGCTCTGTTAAAAATACACTCAAGAAAAACGGTTATATTTATCATAGTGATTCAGGAGTAACATTAAAACAGAATAATATGCCTCACCAACATTAGACTATACCAAAAACCCAAACTCAAATTGCTGAAATAAGTAAATTAAATCAATGAGAGAATAGTCAGATTAACTCATAATAAACTAGCAGTGCAGATGGCACTCTTTTGTTAAGTGCAGAGATAGGGGACTTCTGAAATTCTACAGACTTTGTGGTGCAGCAGACAGATCAGCATCGTATTGAAAAGTCAGTACTAAGTAATCATGTCAATATTGTAATCATATTGTCCTTGATGAAAGATTTTACAATATTTAAGCTGAACAGCGTACCACTTTATCTTAACGCTCTGATACCATGTCATTACTTTACTTATAATGGCTTGGGACACCTGGGACAATCACGGGAGCTTCAGGAGACCATGACATAATGTCCCAAGAACGTCCTTGGGATGTCCCGGGACCAACCAGGAACAAGACAAAACCTCCAGGGGACCATGACACAACGTCCCAAGAATGTCCTAAAAACGTCCCTGGGATAGATCGGGAACTAGACAAAACCTCCAGGGGACCATGACACAACGTCCTAAAAACGTCCCCGGGACAAACTGGGAAATAGACAAAACCTCCAGGGGACCATGACATAACGTCCCAAGAACATCCTGAAAACGTCTTTGGGGAAGTCCCCGGGACAAACTGGAAACTAGAAAAAGGTCCCCCTTGCGACCATCACGCGACGTCCTAAGGACTAGTAAAATGAACATCCTGAGAACATCCTAAAAAGGTCCTGACATGAAGGTCCTGACATGGTTCTCAGTGACGTCCTGGGATCTTACAGGGAACTAGACAAAGGTCCCCCAGAGAACATTCCCTTGGGACCATCATGTGACGTCCTAAGGACTAGTAAAATGAACGTCCTGAGAACATCCTAAAAAGGTCCTGACATGGTCCTCAGTGATGTCCTGGGAACTTAAAGGGAACTAGACAAAGGTCCTCCAGAGAACGTTCCCTTGGGACCATCATGCGATGTTCTTTGAATGTTCTCAGAACGTCAGAGGGATAACGTCGCACCGAAACCCTTAAGGGACCTGATGGAAACGTTGTCGAATGTCCTCAGGATTTCCCTGGTTTGCTGGGATTAAAATTGGGGAGTTACAGGGTACCTCAACCTACTGTTATGTTGTAGGTGGTGGAACTGTCGCCAAAATATATATTTTTTACAATATTTAAAATCATTCAAATTTTTTCCTGCCTGCTTAATAAGATGTTGGAACCCCTGATTTCAGCCTCCTCCAAAAGGAGTCCCCACCTTTGTATATAATAGTGTTGTTTTTCTCTGGAGCAAGGACAGCATTGCCCACAACACTCCACACAGACACTGTGGAGGACGTGTGTAAAAATGACTTGCTTTTTGTCTTAGACTGAGGGACCATCTTGACTCTCACTTGAGTGCAACAATAGCCCCAGTGAGGACAGCTGTGATCCATCCTGTTTAATTAAAAGACTCCCCATTCAAACCCTCTCGCTGGCTGTCAAGCTGGTTCTCTGACCAGAGACCTACACAGACCTCAGTTTGTTTGAGGCACTGTCTAAACCCCCTTCCTCTCCACACTCCCCAACCCCTTCAACACACACAACTCCCCCCTCTCTGTCGCTCTGTCTGTCTCTCTCTTTCTCTCTCTCTCTCTCTCTCCCTCCCACCCTCTTTTAAGGAAAATCTGGGTCCTCTAGATAAACATGTATTTTCCCCAATGAAAGACGAGCACTCTGTTGGCATTTTACCTCCCTCACTCTAGGGTTGTCTTGTCAAGTATCTTGGCACTTGTATTTTCCCTACACAAACAGCAAGCAAGTGAGTATCTATATGCTCAGGGAAGTACTTTCTTTTGAGGGACTACATAACACATTTATATACCATACATAACAGCTGCGTTAATGCTACACTATGTCAATTGCAAGTTGGTATCACTGCGTACCCTATTTCAACCTGTAGATATTGATATAAGCTGACATAAGCGGTTGTAAATGTCTGTACATTGCATAGTGTTATGAATAAAAAAAGGTGCAACTTCAATATTGGTGCTAATTATCACTTAATTGAATGTATGGCAAATTTTTTGTGAACATTCTCTTGGAAAAACAATATATATATATATATATATATACAGTGAGGGAAAAAAGTATTTGATCCCCTGCTGATTTTGTACGTTTGCCCACTGACAAAGACATGATCAGTCTATAATTTTAATGGTAGGTTTATTTGAACAGTGAGAGACAGAATAACAACAAAAAAATCCAGAAAAACGCATGTCAAAAATGTTATCAATTGATTTGCATTTTAATGAGGGAAATAAGTATTTGACCCCTCTGCAAAACATAACTTAGTACTTGGTGACAAAACCCTTGTTGGCAATCACAGAGGTCAGACGTTTCTTGTAGTTGGCCACCAGGTTTGCACACATCTCAGGAGGAATTTTGTCCCACTCCTCTTTGCAGATCTTCTCCAAGTCATTAAGGTTTCGAGGCTGACGTTTGGCAACTCGAACCTTCAGCTCCCTCCACAGATTTTCTATGGGATTAAGGTCTGGAGACTGGCTAGGCCACTCCAGGACCTTAATGTGCTTCTTCTTGAGCCACTCCTTTGTTGCCTTGGCCGTGTGTTTTGGGTCATTGTCATGCTGGAATACCCATCCACGACCCATTTTCAATGCCCTGGCTGAGGGAAGGAGGTTCTCATCCAAGATTTGACGGTACATGGCCCCGTCCATCGTCCCTTTGATGCGGTGAAGTTGTCCTGTCCCCTTAGCAGAAAAACACCCTCAAAGCATAATGTTTCCACCTCCATGTTTGACGGTGGGGATGGTGTTCTTGGGGTCATAGGCAGCATTCCTCCTCCTCCAAACACAGCGAGTTGAGTTGATGCCAAAGAGTTCGATTTTGGCAAACTTCAGACGGGTCTGTATATGTGCTTTCTTGAGCAGGGGGACATTGTGGGCGCTGCAGGATTTCAGTCCTTCACGGCGTAGTGTGTTACCAATTGTTTTCTTGGTGACTATGGTCCCAGCTGCCTTGAGATCATTGACAAGATCCTCCCGTGTAGTTCTGGGCTGATTCCTCACAGTTCTCATGATAATTGCAACTCCACGAGGTGAGATCTTGCATGGAGCCCCAGGCCGAGGGAGATTGACAGTTATTTTGTGTTTCTTCCATTTGCGAATAATCGCACCAACTGTTGTCACCTTCTCACCAAGCTGCTTGGCGATGGTCTTGTATCCCATTCCAGCCTTGTGTAGGTCTACAATCTTGTCCCTGACATCTTTGGTCTTGGCCATGGTGGAGAGTTTGGAATCTGATTGATTGATTGCTTCTGTGGACATGTGTCTTTTATACATGTAACAAACTGAGATTAGGAGCACTCCCTTTAAGAGTGTGCTCCTAATCTCAGCTCGTAACCTGTATAAAAGACACCTGGGAGCCAGAAATCTTTCTGATTGAGAGGGGGTCAAATACTTATTTCCCTCAATAAAATGCAAATCAATTTATAACATTTTTGACATGCGTTTTTCTGGATTTTTTTTTGTTATTCTGTCTCTCACTGTTCAAATAAACCTACCATTAAAATTATAGACTGATCATTTCTTTGTCAGTGGGCAAACATACAAAATCAGCAGGGGATCAAATACTTTTTTCCCTCACTGTATATATATATATATATTGTTTTGCCAAGAGAATGTTCACAAAAAATGTGCCATACATTAAATTAAGTGATAATTAGCACCAATATCGAAGTTGCATGTTTTTTGATTCCTAAATATCAAAATCAGTCAGACCTCAACAGTGGTCTAATGTCAAGATGACTCCATGTCCCATGCCATATATTGAGTAGATGCAGCTATATATATATCAATCTACACAACAGATGGTGTGGGACATGGACTCATCTCCACAATACACTGCTGTTGAGGTATGAAAACCTCCGACACATTTCGATATTGGTGCCAATTATTAGCACATTTTTTGTGAACATTCTCTTGGCAAAACAATATGAGAAAATGAGAAACTCACTATCACAATTTTGCTATTCTTCAGTACCTACATTAAGATGGCTAGCAATACCTTTCTAAAAACATCTAGCACCTGATCTCATCGCCTGCTGGTTAGCATAATTAGCTGCTAGCAGAGAAGGTTAATAGTTAGTGTTACAGTACCCATGGAGAGAGTCTGTTCCAGGCTTGGCTTCTCACCTGTATGCTCGGAGTGCTAGCGAGACTGGCTGTGTGCGTGGTCGGCCAAAGTCAGCACTAGTTAGTTACTTTGGCATCCTCCTCTCCATAGGTATGGGTTTTCAGTGCCAGAATAGGCCTATCAAGGTACTGTATGTGTGGGCTATAATAATGAAGGAACCACTTTCAATGTGTGTCCACTCACTGGCAAATTTGGCTTACACAAGTTGGCCTACCGTGCCAGTATATGCTCAAGTAATGGCAACAGGGAAATAGATTAGTGTCTAGGTTAGGGGTGCAGTTCTGGTCCTCGAAGGGCGCTGGTTGTCCTGCTGGTTTTTGTCTTTTAACCTGTGACTGGTTTTTACCTGGAACAAGGTGTGTGCACTCTCCAGGAAACCAGTAACATTAATTTATCAATTAAATGCCAAAGAGAAACGAAAACCATCAATACTGTGGAACATGAGGGCCTTGAGTTGTGCTCCCCAGTCATTCATTATCATGGACACCTACGTGTTTTACCATTGCATTTGCCTACATGGCATTCCGAGCTCAGGACCATCTCTTATCAATTTTAATGGAATAAATTAATGAATTATTTAAATTGAATCCATTTTAATATAGTCCGTTAAAATAACTAAGAAATGGCCCTGAGCTCATTCAGTACTATGATTTTTTTTGTTAACCTTCAACTATGTGTTCTTTCAGGTTTGTCCACATCAGACGTCACAATGATGACGCCAAGAGACCCAAAGCCCAAGAAGAAGCCGCCGAAAGATAGCTTGACTCTGTTGCCATGCTTCTATTTTGTAGAGGTGGGTAGAAATATCAGCGTTATGAATTCGACATGTAACAACATGCTATAATGATAGTCTTTGGTTGTATCTGATTGATTGACTGAACGAATGAATGAACGAACAAACAAACAAACGAATGAACAAACTAACAAACACATATTTATTGACTCCATAAGAATATATTTGTCTGGCGCTCTGCATTTCTCTCTCTCTCTGTCTTCTGTTTGTGATTATCATTGGTGGATACATTTGGATCAATACGCTGAAGCTGAGGATGACCTGCTTTCCTATCTTTTCCGCTCACATGTCATTATTTTAAACGATCTGAACCTTATCTATTCAAGTATCTAGTTAGTCTATTTAGGGGACCCCTTCTGGTTCAAGAGTACCCCCAGACGCAAACTTCTATATAGTTATCTTTAAGGTTAGAGTTAGTGGTAGTAAGTATAGTGACAAGTCTGACAACAACCTTTGACCTACACTTGCACTTCCTGTTTCCCAGCTGCCCATTGTGGCTTCTTCTATGGTGTCACTCTACTTCCTGGAGCTGACGGACCTGCTCCAGCCTGCCCAGGTAGGCTTCCGTTGCCATGACCGCATGCTGAGCATGCCCTACGTTGACGGTGGAGACGAGCTCATCCCTCTACTCATGCTGCTCAGCCTGGCCTTCGCTGGGCCGGCCGCCTCGGTGACTACACCCCTCTAAACACACTTGGGCGTGTGCACACACACCCAAACACACACACACACGATGCTGCTCTGCCTGTATGAGTACCCTTCTAAACACACCCACGTATGGCCTATGTGATACACTCTATGTATAATTAAGCTATTATAGACTCAAACTATATGAACTCATGGTAAAAACATTCAGACAATAATGTATAATGTATGAATACGTTGAATTCACTCAAACCAAAATATAGTTGTCAAATATATAGGCTTACATTCAAATCAGACCATATAACATGAGACCAAGTTCACACATACCACATACAAAAATCTAATACTCAAATTGTTTTCTCTAATAGCCAGGTCTCTGAGATGGTGTTCAACACAATTATCAAGTCCAAATGCATTGATTAGTACTGCTGTATCTCTGATTGTGTGATCTTGTCGTCTGGTCAGATCATGATTGGGGAGGGCCTGGTTTACTTCATGCAGTCACGTCTTAAGATCCGACCTGGGGTGGAAGGCAGCATCAACGCCGGTGGGTGCAACTTCAACTCCTTCCTTCGGCGAACGGTGCGCTTCGTAGGTATGGTTCCACTCTGTGTCAAATGAATGTCGCCTGTTCAGGTATATATCCAGTATGACGATGACTCACTCTTGCTCTTTCTTTTTCCTCTTTTGTTCTTGTCTTCACTACTCTCTCTTTCTCCTCACGTCACTCCTCGCTCCCTTCTCTTTCTCTTCCCCACCCATCTCTCTCTCTGTATTTCTCTCTCCCTCTTCCCATTCACCCTCCTCTCTTTTCACTCCCTTTCTCACTCTCTACCTCTGTCTCTGTCTCTCCAGGTGTCCATGTGTTTGGGTTGTGTGCCACGGCTCTAATGACTGATGTGATTCAGTTGGCCACAGGTTATCACACCCCCTTCTTCCTGACTGTGTGCAAGCCCAACTACACTCAGCCAGGGGTGGCCTGTGATAAAAACCCCTACATCACCAAGGACATCTGCTCTGGTCACGACCAGCACGCCATCGTCTCTGCCAGGTAGCTACATGACATAACATAACCACCTGAACCAGGAAGAATTAAGGTTCTGTTACAGTATCTATACTAGAATACCGGTTTGAATGAAGCAATTGTTTTTGGCATGCATTGTTAGTAGTATGCTAGTCTGGATAATGTGTGTCCTCGTCTCTGTACATCACTCATACCGGTGGTCCCAATCAAAAAGACAGAGTGGTTCAAAGGCTCTCACTGAGGCACAATAAGGGATAACATTGCATTGGGAAAAATGAAGGGTAAATATTAATTTAATGGGTTTTCAAGGACATGATGTACTAAGTATTGGAATGCAGCCTTGAACAGAACATCTTATATTCTCTGGCAGAGGATGAGTCTTAATACTCATGAAAAGCCTCCTTTTCTTGTTTCCTTCCTCTCTGGACCACAGATCTAAACCGACTGGCTAGATGAAACCCACGACAAGGTTTCTGTTCCTCCATTTTGCTTTCAGATAATCAATCTCATCCAGTCTTAGGTATACTAAGATATACTAAGTGATCAGGAATTGGAGTTAGTAAGGAAGCCATTTTGTGGTATTTCAACACAGATTCACAGATCAGTCATAGACAGATAAACAGGGATGTACCGATACTGTACACTTAGACAGATACAGCACACCTTGACAACAACACCACAACACTAACCCGCATTGTAACAATGTGCAGGTGTGATCTTTATTCCACACTATCACTTTTCTCTCCTCTCCCCTTTTAGATTGTGATCAAAGCTGTGTGACATATGGTGTCTGTCTGCTTCTCTAGCATTTCATCTTGCCACAAACACGTTTTCTCTTTCTTGTCAGGAAAACCTTTCCCTCCCAGCACGCAACCCTGTCTGCCTTTGCTGCTGTGTACATATCAGTAAGTACACTTCCTGCGACAAATGCACAGTATGAAGTATCACTAGCTAGGTTTCCATCAGTTGGCGACAGATTTTCATGCACACAATCCACACAACATATCATTACGTGACTCCAAGTTTACTTCGTTATGATGGTTATTACGTACGCTCAGTGGCCAGTTTATTAGTTACACCCATCTAGTAGCGTGTCAGACCCCCCTTTACCTCAATTACCTCCGCTAACCTGTGCCCCCGCACATTGACTCGGTACCGGTACCCCCTGTATACTCCTCCCGAGTGGCGCAGTGGTCTAAGGTACTGCATCGCAGTGCTAGCTGTGCCACTAGAGATCCTGGTTCGAATCCAGGCTCTGTCGTAGCCGGCCGCGACCGGGAGACCCATGGGGCGGCGCACAATTGGCCCAGTGTCGTCCAGGGTAGGGGAGGGAATGGCCGGCAGGGATATAGCTCAGTTGGTAGAGCATGGCATTTGCAATGCCAGGGTTGTGGGTTCGATTCCAGTATAAAAAAATAAAAATGTATGCACTCACTAACTGTAAGTCGCTCTGCATAAGAGCGTCTGCTAAAATGACTAAAATTTAAATGTAAAAAATGTATATAGCCTCACTATTGTTATTTTACTGCTGCTCTTAATGTTATTATTTTTTTAAATATTTTTTTGGGGTATTCTTTCTTAAAACTGCATTGTTGGTTAAGGGCTTGTAAGTAAGCATTTCACTGTAAGGTCTACACCTGTTGTATTCGGCGCATGTGAGAAATAACATTTGATTTGATTTGATTTGAACAGCCTGAATTTTTCGGGACATGGAAACATTGCTCAATTGGTATCAAGGGACCTAACGTGTGCCAGGAAAACATTCCTCACTCCATTACAAAACCGCCATCAGCCTGTACCGTTGACACCAGGCAGGATGGGGCCATGGACTCATGTTGCTTACGCCAAATCCTGACTCTGCCATCAGCATGACGCAACAGGAACCAGGATTCTTCGGACCAGCCAATGTTTTTCCACTCCTCAATTGTCCAGTGTTGGTGATTGTGTGCCCACTGGAGCCGCTTCTTCTTGTTTTTAGCTGACAGGAGTGGAACACGGTGTGGTCATCTGCTGCAATAGCCCATCCGTGACAAGGGCCGACGAGTTGTACGTTCTGAGATGCAGAACACACACCACTGTTGTACTGAGTCGTTATTTACCTGTTTGTGGCCCGCCTGTCAGCTTGCACGATTCTTGCCATTCTCCTTCGACCTCTCATCAGCCAGCTGTTTTCACCCACAGGACTGCCGCTGACTGGATGTGTTTTGTTTGTCGCACCATTCTCTGTAAATCCTAAACACTGTCGTGCGTGAAAATCCCAGGAGGCCGGCCGTTTCTGAGATACTGGAACCGGCACGCCTGGCACCGACGATCATACCACGGGCAAAGTCGCTTAGGTCACTCATTTTTCCCATTCTAACATTCAGTCGAATAGTAACAGAATGCCTCGATGCCTGTCTACCTGCTTTATATAGCAAGCCACGGCCACCATTTTCGTGAACGGGGTGGTGTACCTAATAAACTTGCCACTGAGTGTACAAAACATTAAGAAACACCTGCTCTTTCCATTACATAAACTGACCGGGTGAATCCAGGTGAAAGCTATGATCCCTTATTGATGTCACTTGTTAAATCCACTTCAATCAGTGTAGATGAAAGGGAGGAGACAGGTTAAAGAAGGATTTTTAAGCCTTGAGACAATTGAGACATGGATTGTGTATGTGTTCCAATCAGAGGGTGAATGGGCAAGACATGGCATAGCAGTGCGGTCGTGTTCTCTTGTGTGTCCATGTAAATCGTTTTTTGTATTTTTTTGTATTTTACGTATATATTTCCCTATCACACTTTTCATCCTTCTACTAAATATACTTTCCTGCAACCCGCCTCACTCAGTGTAGAACGGATTCTATTATTTACTCACCTTTATCTAGAATCTCCAGTTGAAACTAGCCAGCCAGCTAACTAGCTACTTGCTATTAGCCACCGTTAGTGGTTTTCACCCAGAACATCGGAATTTTCTGCCGGAATAACTGAATCACTGGACCTTAACACCGGATCGCAACTAGCTAGCCGCAACCGAATGGATGTCGAATGGATGTTGCTGTAGGCTAATCACCACTGCCCCCGAAGCAAGCATTAGTTAGCCTCGAGCTAGCCTCGAGCAGGCTCATATCCCGGCTATCTACCTCTCTGTCTACCGGACGGGAGTAGCCAGCTAACCAGCTAACTAGCTACTTGCTATTAGCCACCATTAGTGTTTTTTCACCATTATCCGTGGCCTGCACTACCTACCAGCCAGCTCTAGCCTGGACTATTATCGGCCAGTCTGCACTGTCTGCACAGCGCGTTATCGACCCAGAACCTATCAGATTTTCTGCCGGAATCACTGGACCTTTAACACTGGATAATCGCAACTAGCTAGCTGCAACCAAATGAACGTTGTTGTTGGCTAATCAGCCTTGAGCTAGCCTTGAGTCAGGCACATCTCCCGGCTATCTACCTCTCTGTCAACCGGACGGGACCTCCTAGAGTCGACACAGAGCCCCGCCGATCCATCTCGACTGGTCTGCTGACGTAATCGTCTGTGGTTTCAACAGGCTTCCGGTTGCGACGACCACGAAGATCCATCTGCTAGCCCCGGCCCGCTAGCACACGCAAACGACAGCCGTGCTTCCTGATCGCTGTGCTGTAGTACCAATTCGAACTGCTCTCGGACTCACATATTGCTGTTCACTGGACCTTATGATCACTCAGCTGCACAGCTGATGCCTGCTGGACTGTTCCTTTACACAGTACCCCATCCTGTTTATCCGTTTAGCCTCAGCCCAAACTTTATTGCCATTACCAGTTGTTGTCTTAGCTCTCTCTAATAACACCTGTGATTGCTTTATGCCTCTCTCCCATGTCAATATGCCTTGTCTATTGCTGTTCCAGTTAGTTCTTATACAATTTCACTGTAGAACCCCAGGTCCCTCTCAAACTGCCTCAAATAGTTCCTTTGTTCCACCCCCCATACACGCCGAGACCGGCTCAATCAGTGCCTCCAGTGATGCTATCTCTTTCATTGTTACCCAACGCTTAGGTTTACCTCCACTGTACTCATATCCTTCCATATCCTTGTCTGTACATAATGCCCTGAATCTATTCTACAACGCCCGGAAATCTGCCCCCTTTATTCTCTGTACCCAACGCACTAGAAGACCAGTTCTTAAAGCCTTTAGCCGTATCCTTATTCTAGTCCTCCTCTGTTCCTCTGGTGATGTAGAGGCTAACCCAGGCCCTGCAGCCCCCAGTATCACTCCTACTCCCCAGGAGCTATCATTTGTTTACTTCTGTAACCGTAAAAGCCTTGGTTTTCTGCACGTTAACATCAGAAGCCTCCTTCCTAAGTTTGAGATATTCACTGCGTTAGCACACTCCGCCAACCGTGATGTTCTAGCAGTGTCTGAATCCTGGCTTAGGAAGGCCACCAAAAATTCTGAAATGTCCATCCCCAACTACAACATTTTCCATCTAGATAGACCTGTCAAAGGGGGTGGAGTTGAAATCTACTGTAGAGATAGCCTGCAGAGCTCTATTATACTATCCAGGTCTGTGCCCAAACAGTTTGAGCTTCTACTTCTAAAAATCCACCTTTTCAGAAATGTCTCTCACTGTTGCCGCTTGCTACAGACCCCCCTCAGCCCCCAGCTGTGCCCTGGACACCATATGTGAATTGATTGCCCCCCATTTATCCTCAGAGTTCGTACTGCTTGGTGACCTAAATTGGGATATGCTTAACACCCCGGCCATCCTACAATCCAAACTAGATGCCCTCAATCTCACACAAATTATCAACGAACCTACCAGGTACAACCCTAAATCCGTAAACATGGGCACCCTCATAGATATCATCCTGACTAACTTACCCTCTAAATACACCTCCGCTGTCTTCAACCAGGATCTCAGCGATCACTGCCTTATTGCCTGCGTCCGTAACGGGTCCGCGGTCAAATGACCACCCCTCATCACTGTCAAATGCTCCCTAAAACACTTTAGCGAGCAGGCCTTCCTAATTGACCTGGCCCAGGTATCCTGGATGGATATCAATCTCATTCCGTCAGTAGAGGATGCCTGGTTGTTCTTTAGAAGTAATTTCCTCTCAATCTTAAATAAACATGCCCCATTCAAAAAAGACAGAACTAAGAACAGATATAGCCCCTGGTTCTCCTCAGACTTGACTGCCATTGACCAGCACAAAAACATCCTGTGGCATACTGCATTAGCATCGAATAGCCCCCGCGATATGCAACCTTTCAGGGAAGTTAGGAACCAATATACACAAGCAGTTAGGAAAGCAAAGGCTCACCGACCATTTCGAATCCCACCGTACCTTCTCCGCTATGCAATCCGGTTTCCGAGCTGGTCATGGGTGCACCTCAGCCACGCTCAAGGTGCTAAACTATATTTTAACCGCAATCGTTAATAGACAGTACTGTGCAGCCGTCTTCATCGACCTGTCCAAGGCTTTCGACTCTGTCAACCACCGCATTCTTATTGGCAGACTAAATAGCCTTGGTTTCTCAAATGACTGCCTCGCCTGGTTCACCAACTACTTCTCAGATAGAGTTCAATGTGTCAAATCGGAGGGCCTGTTGTCTGGACCTATGGCAGTCTCTATGGGGGTGCCACAGGGTTCAATTCTTGGGCCGACTCTTTTCGCCGTGTATATCAATGATGTCGCTCTTGCTGCTGGTGACTCTCAGATCCACCTCTACGCAGACGACACCATTTTGTATACATCTGGCCCTTCATTGGACACTGTGTTAACAAACCTCCAAACGAGCTTCAATGCCATACAACACTCCTTCAGTAGCCTCCAACTGCTCTTAAACACTAGTAAAACTAAATGCATGCTCTTCAATCGAACGCTGCTGGCACCCACCCACCCGACTAGAATCACTACTCTCGACGGGTCTGACCTAGAGTATGTGGACAACTACAAATACCTAGGTGTCTGGTTAGACTGTAAACTCTCCTTCCAGACTCACATTAAGCATCTCCAATCCAAAGTTAAATCTAGAATTGGCTTCCTATTTCGCAACAAAGCCTCCTTCACTCATGCTGCCAAACATGCCCTCGTAAAACTGACTATCCTACCGATCCTTGACTTTGGCGATGTCATTTACAAAATAGCCTCCAACACTCTACTCAGCAAATTGGATGTAATCTATCACAGTGCCATCCGTTTTGTCACCAAAGCCCCATGTACTACCCACCACTGTGACCTGTACGCTCTTGTTGGCTGGTCCTCACTACATATTCGTCGCCAAACCCACTGGCTCCAGGCCATCTATACATCACTGCTAGGCAAATCCCTGCCTTATCTTAGCTCATTGGTCACCATAGCGACACCCACCCGTAGTATGCGCTCCAGCAGGTATATCTCACTGGTCATCCCCAAAGCCAACACCTCCTTTGGCCGCCATTCCTTCCAGTTCTCTGCTGACAATGACTGGAACGAATTGCAAAAATCTCTGAAGCTGGAGACTCCCTCACTAACTTTAAGCATCAGTTGTCAGAGCACCTTACCGATCACTGCACCTGTACACAGCCCATCTGAAATTAGCTCACCCAACTACCTCATCCCCATATTGTTATTTATTTGCTCATTTGCACCCCAGTATCTCTATTTGCACATCATCTCTTGCACATCTATCATTCCAGTGTTAATACTAATTGTAATTATTTTGCTCTATGGCCTATTTATTGCCTTACCTCCATGACTTGCTACATTTGCACACACTGTATATATATTTTTTCTGTTGTATTTTTGACTTTATGTTTTGTTTTACCCCATATGTAACTCTGTGTTGTTGTTTTTATCGCACTGCTTTGCTTTATCTTGGCCAGGTCGCAGTTGTAAATGAAAACTTGTTCTCAACTGGCTCACCTGGTTAAATAAAGGTGAAATAAAATACAAATAAAAAAGACAAAAGGTTTAAGTGCCTTTGAACGGGGTATGGTAGTAGGTGCCAGGCGCACACTGCAACGCTGCTGGGTTTTTCACGCTCAACAGTTTGTTGTGTGTATCAAGAATGGAGTTGATAGCATGGTTAGTGTGTATTGCTAGGGCCAGGTACAATTTTATGTGGCAGTGTTTCCCTATAGGTCCCCAGGACTCAACTGAAATAAAAAAGTGGCTATCGCTTTAAGTCAACTTACAAACAAAAACAGCGACAAAACATGATTAGCTAGTTTTATTGATTAAACATGCTGAGAATGCTTTTGAAGTCGTGATAAAAAAACTTCTCCCCAGATTCCGTCTTTGGCTCTTTTTAATGCGTTGTTCAGTGGCTGGCCAAGCAGTGGCGGCTCCTGAACAAATTCTCAGGGAGGGCAATTTTTCTGATGATTTAGGTGACCTACACACATTTTTAAAAAGATATGTCCAGCAACAACATGAAGACAGGGGCAGCATATAAGTCAATACCAGAAGCATTTATTGACTGATCTCAAAAGTGTTGGCTTACAAAAGCAAAATAAGTTATCACAGTAAAAATAATCAAGGGTGTTCTTTCACATTCCTCAACACTGCATAAACAATATGCATTTCCATAAACAAATGAAATATCAGCTGAAAATACAGCATCTTGGTATTTGTTCAGATTGCAGGATCAACAAGAGCTTTTACCACATTTTTTGATATCTGTTTAATCTTACCTTATGGCCTGCACTTGCTTGTGAAGCTGTCGAGGGCACGTTTGATAGAGACAGCATCGATGTCCTTCTTCTGTAGCTTCTGGTACAGAATGTCGACGTGGGGCATGATTTTGTGAAAAAGCCGCAGGAAAAAAATTAAATCTTCATCATGTAGTATCCTCACGTAGCCAGCTGCCTCTCTCAAGGTGTGCTGGTCAAATGAACCCAATGAACCCGTCCGGATGGCTTCAAAACATTATATGAGGTCGTCTCGATTCTCGTAGACAGTGTTCACGACTCTGCTGTTGCTAACCTCATCGTTGTGGCGGCGGACAGCTAGCCTGTATCCCTCATCCAGTTGAGTGGCAATATTCACTCTCCCAAAAGCAGACAATCTCAAACAGCTATATGTGGGTCTTTGACAGCTAATTTTTCTTAATCTTTTCTGAAAGATGGTGCATGTCGGTTACACCAGTCGCTGTCCAAGCGGTGCTGTCTTCTGTGCCGCCTTCAGGGTGGAAGAGTAAGCAGGGGTAGCAAAAAACTGCATTAGCTACATCGCAGCCTGCTAGCCAGGTTTTCCGTTCATACCAATTTTTGGAAAATCCTCGGGTGTAGGACTTCCCCCCTTTAGTAGACACCTGTTGAATTATTAAATTTGGTCTGGGAGGTCCTAATTGTTTCGTTGCCAATTTATCTTCATTTGTTCGCCGACAAAAAGGAACTTCTTTCAAAGACACAATCGAGTTGGACTGAAGCCTAGCCATTTTGATAGTAGTAGTGAATTGATTGAGGCTGCCTACCTGGTCTTTTTCTTAGTTACGTTCATCGTGGTTACGTTATGTATGACGAAAGCGCGTAAGTGCAAGCCCCACAGACACCCCTAGAGAATGTATTGAAAGCTGTTGAAATGTGACAAAAATAGATTTTACATGGGAGTCTATGACCGACTTCTGGCGATTTTTCAACCTGACTGAAATCGCCCAAAAAACGGGCGGGGCATTGAAGCACGACTTTAGCCTGATTTGACATTAGTGGCTGGCAAGATCAGACCGTGAACACTGATAACTGCTGTTGCCGTGATATAATTTTTTATAAATTTATAAAAAAAAAAATATTTTTTTTTATTTATTTTTTTTTTATAATTGATTAGAAAAAAAATCCCTTCCTTTTCCCGTTTTGGCAGTGCGTCGCCCATATCGCCTATTGAACAAGCCGTCCCTGTGGCCAAGTACAATACCATTGATTGCCATCCAATTAGGGCATTGTGTGCTAATATTGATTGAGAATAAAGTGGAATTGTAGCCAAAGTATTCACACCAGATTCTCAATGCACAAATCCTTTGAGCAAATCTGTCCTGGCTATTTATTTTAAGGACGAGCTTAACGTATTGTGCCAAACTGGCTTTCCCCCCATATATATATTTGGTAGCTCTTAAATTGAAATGTTTGCCTCAAACCGCTTAAAATATTATCACAAAGCTTAACATTTGCGGATTGAATGAAGGGAAACACGTAGAACCCGTTTCTAAGCAGAAATCAAATGTATCATATTCATAGATGAATGGAATGTATTGTAGTTTTTTGTTATAATATCTCACCATGTATTTTCTCAATTTCTCTCTTCTTGCAGATGTACTTCAACTCAACCATCTCAGACAGCACCAAGCTGCTGAAGCCAGTGTTGGTGTTTGCGTTTGCCATCGTGGCGGCGCTAACCGGCCTCACCCAGATCACCCAGTACCGCAGCCACCCCATCGACGTCTACGTGGGCTTCCTCATAGGGGCCGGCATCGCTGCCTACCTGGTAAGACCTAACTTCCATGGGCATCTATCTTGACGTGACATTTATTTGACAGTGATGGTGCATATTAATCTTTATTTCTGTAAATGGGCTTTTTCTATCTGCAGGATTGACAGTTGATGAAAACATTTAGGAACATGACATTTAAGGATTCTATCAAAGCTGATTTACAAAGGGCTATTCTTGCGCACATACATTTCTGAAAGGTATCTGTGAGGGGAGTTTACCTAATACTTCCTGTAGTAGCCAAAACCATTCTGCGATTTTATTTGATGTGAGCACTGGAGAGGAAAGTGTTATTCACCAGACAGTGATGTGGGATTTCAGCTGATCAAACTGCATGCCATCTCTCCCTCCCCCACTTAAACGGCTTACCTGCAGTTTAGCGCTAGGCTCTTTGATATCTCCAGATTGCTGCTCTTATTGAAGTTTCTCACACTCCTCCCTCTCTCATTTGCTTTCCGCTTTCATACGACTATCTGTCCTCAAGGAGGGATGGAGTTCACTTTCATGCCCATCATTTCTCTCCTGCTCTCTCACTCTCTCTCTCTCTCTCTCTCTCGCTCTCTCTCTCTCTCTCTCTTCTCTCTCTCTCTCTCTCTCTCTCTCTCTCTCTCTCTCTCTCTCTCTCTCTCTCTCTCTCTCTCCTCTCTCTCTCTCTCTCTCTCTCTCTCTCTCTCTCTCTCTCTCTCTCTCTCTCTCTCTCTCCATTTTAGACACTCTTTCGGTCCTTCGCCTGAATGGGGATTATTTGAACAGATTCTGGAAGTGTCTTTCCATGACGTTCTGTCTTTCAATGGTGGGGCCTACTCTACATACCCATTTGTTTTATCATGCTCTCTCATTCGTATGCCATTTTTTCTCATAGCTCTTTTCTGTCTCATATCTCTGTCCTTCTCTCATTTCCTCTTTGTCCCTGTGTTCTCTCACTCTTATCAGAGATAGCGAGCGGTGGTTAGAGCCAGCTCCTCAGTTCTGTTTAAGTCAGCTTCCTCTGGAGTGTAAAGCGCAGGCAAATAACCAGGAAGAAGAATTATATTGAATGATAATGACTTTCCACAGGACTATTATGCTGAGTAGCTGTGGAGGGATTTCAGGCGACCAAGGCCTTCTCTTCTTCTCTTCCAGGCTTTCCACGCCGTTGGCAACTTCAGGTCCTCCGACAACATCATCATCAGGCCAGCTCCACCACCCCAGAAGGAGGACGCCCTGCGAGCGCTGACCCAGCGGGGCCACGACTCGGTCTACAACAAAGGTGTTGCCTCAGCATCGGAGAGCGCCGACGAGATCGCCGTGCCGCCCTCCCTGGACCGGCTGGAGGGCATGGGGCGGCCGCTGCAGCGCGAGAAGGCCTCCATCGGCAGCTTGAAAAGGGCCAGCGTGGACGTGGAGCTCCTGGCGCCCCGCAGCCCCATGGGCCAGCAGACCATGGTGACCTTCAGCAACACGCTGCCCAGATCTAGCATGAACGCTAACGGGGGCCTGGGCACTAACGGGGGCCCAGAGGAGCCCATGATGCAGCCTACTCAGCCCATGCAGAGGAGGCTTAAGGCTGTGCAGGTGCCCATGGACCCCATGCGCTCACAGCAGTTAGTGACAGAGTGGAAGCAGAAGTCCATGGAGATGCGGGGTCTGAGCCTCAGGGATGAGGCTGAGCGGGAGGCCAGTGAGGAGGGCTCCGAAGGGGGGGAGGAAGGGTCAGAGGACGGGGGTCCACAGGCCTCGCTGTATCCATCTACGGTGCAGTCCAACAGGGGAGCTTTCACCAGTCCAATCCCCGTCAGTGTGGGGCCTCCAGGGAGTGCCAGGGTGGTGGCAACCCCTAGACCCCCCCACATCCCCGAGGTGGGTCCCCCGCCAGTGTCGCCCAAAAGTGCACTAACCCGCGCCAAGTGGCAGTCCATCACAGAGAAGAGCGGTGGCGGCGGGTCGATTCGCGGGGCACCCAACCAGCCGCGTATCATGCAAGTGATCGCCATGTCCAAGCAGCAGGGACTCCTCCCTTCCTCCTCCTCGGGGGGCACGCCCAAGTCCTCCGAGACCACCTCCACCTCCTCCTGCACCTCCTCTACGGCCAGTGCCGACTCGCCCCACTACCGGCCGCCCTCAGAGGCCCAGCGTGATTCGACCATCATCACCGTAGATGCCCACGCCCCCCACCACCCCGTGGTGCACGGTGGCCAGCCCCCCTCCTCAGGCAACGGGAACCCCTGGGAGTGGAGGGGCGCGTCCAACGGCAGCGACCCTCGAGACTCCTACGAGCTCAACGATCTGAACCGCGGCGACAGCGGTGGTGCTCGCGGCAGCACTGGTAGCTTCCGGTTGCACCAGACCATCTCGCCCTGCTCCTCGACCAGCGACGGAGACCCAGAGATGCTTCCCCCTCCGCCCCTACCCCCACACCGAGGTCCCCCACGACGGGAGAAGCCGGGAGTCCACTTTACGACGCAAGACTGCGTTAGTCCTCCTGGAGAGGGACATTCAATTTCAAAACAAGAGTGAGCAGGAGAACTACTATAAAAAAATACAGGGTGGCCGGAGGTATAAGGAGTAGTCACTAACTAACTAATAAGCCTTACAGTCAAACCACAAAACAGTACAAAACCTGGACTGACAAGCTGGGCTCTGCTGCTATGCATCTCTCGAACTATGTGTGATGTTATCAAAGGAGCTGTGCAAAACGGTTGTAGCCTACAGTCGTGGTCAAAACTTTTGAGAATGACACAAGTATTGGTCTTCACAAAGTTTGCTGCTTCAGTGTTTTTAGATATTTTTGTCAGATGTTACTATGGTATACTGAAGTATAATTACAAGCATTCCATAAGTGTCCAAATATTTTATTGACAATTACATTAAGTTTATGCAAAGAGTCAATATTTGCAGTGTTGACCCTTCTTTTTCAAGACCTCTGCAATCCGCCCTGGCATGCTGTCAATTAACTTCTGGGCCACATCCTGACTGATGGCAGCCCATTCTTGCATAATCAATGCTTGGAGTTTGTCAGAATTTGTGGGTTTTTGTTTGTCCACCCGCCTTTTGAGGATCGACCACAAGTTCTCAATGGGATTAAGATCTGGGGAGTTTCCTGGCCACTCCTGAGTGGCGCAGTGGTCTAAGGCACTGCATCGCAGTGCTAACTGTGCCACTAGAGATCCTGGTTCGAATCCAGGCTCTGTCGCAGCCGGCCGCGACCGGGAGACTCATGGGCGGCGCACAATTGGCCCAGCGTTGTCCAGGGTAGGGGAAGGAATGGCCGGCAGGGATGTAGCTCAGTTGATAGAGCATGGTGTTTGCAACGCCAGGGTTGTGGGTTCGATTCCCACGGGGGGCCAGTATAAAAAAAATATATCTATTCACTAACTGTAAGTCGCTCTGGATAAGAGCGTCTGCTAAATGACTAAAATGTAAATGTATTGTGAGTGAGCCCACTCCCTTGGCTGAGAAGCAACCCCACACATTAATGGTCTCAGGATGCTTTACTGTTGGCATGACACAGAACTGATGGTAGCGCTCACCTTGTCTTCTCCGGACAAGCTTTTTTCCGGATGCCCCAAACAATCAGAAAGGGGATTCATCAGAGAAAATGACTTTACCTCAGTCCTCAGCAGTCCAATCCCTGTACCTTTTTCAGAATATCAGTCTGTCCCTGATGTTTTTCCTGGAGAGAAGTGGCTTCCTCCCTGCCCTTCTTGACACCAGGCCATCCTCCAAAAGTATTTGCCTCACTGTGCGTGCAGATGCACTCACACCTGCCTGCTGCAATTCATCTGATCACTCTTCATAACATTCTGGAGTATATGCAAATTGCCATCATAAAAACTGAGGCAGCAGACTTTGTGAAAATTAATATTTGTGTCATTCTCAAAACTTTTGACCACGACTGTACTATGATGTATGCTAGATGGAAGGAAACATCTCGAGTTGATGTGGGACCCTAAGGTATTTTCAGGAGCACAAAGACATTTTTCAAAGGTTCAAATCAGAAGCACACCACCACGCAACACAAACCAAAAAAGGACAACGTATTAAAGATCAATCTACTGAGCCGAACCAGGCAGTTTTGTTACATTTCCAACATCTTTATTGACTCCATCTTCCTTTCAATGTTTCTCTTGTTATGACCATTCGATGGGCTGATTGTCTAGTGTTGGAATGGCATCTACTGTATGTTGTGGCCTTTCCGTTGTTAGTACTTGATTGCTAATGAGTAGATTCTGAGCATGTACTGTATGTCTGGGTGTTTTTGTGTGTTTGGGTCAGTGTTTCAGGTGCTTGTATGTGTATGTGTGTGTGTGTATGTGTTGAAGAAGCACAGTATGCTTTCAAAAAACTTCATGCAAGTGATGTTTGGAGGCCCATGATGGTGCCCATTCTCAACTAAATTCAGACCTTGATCTTAACTCTAAAACTGAAGAACAACAAAAAATGTAACCTGAACTTCCTTCTTTTGATGGAGAATACCAACAGGACTGAATGGCTGCAAGTCGTGCAAAGGAGTGCTTTTCAATTTCAACATTTCCATATGGATGTTACTTTTGAGACAGCAACGGGAGTACCTCTTGACTTAAAGCATTAACCGTGGGTATTTTTGGCTGGACATATTTTATGAGAACAAAACTACAATAAGAAAAAAGTGACATCAGTCATTTTATCAAAGTAATAGAGGCAGTATGTGTAAAATAGAATGGGTTACTTTCTTTTTGCTGATCGCTGAAAGCCTCGAAGTGAACATGTATACAAATCAGCATACTCCTGTAGATGGACTACTGCATGTAATGTACGTGGCTGTCAGGTTGGAAATACTACTTTGTCAGTAAACAAGAACAAAAAAAAGAAATTAAAAGTTGTCATTAGTAACTTAACTGTGAAGTACTAGTGTGGCAAATGTTGTATATCTGAGACAAGTTTGGACTTTATTGTCCACCAAAGTCCTTCAAGTTACAATCAGAAGTTGTAAGGTAGTAGTGCAGACACAGGGAGGGAGCTCATCTACTCAACAGTGATGAGACGAGGTAGTGGTGCAGACACAGGGAGGGAGCTCATCTACTCAACAGTGATGAGACGAGGTAGTGGTGCAGACACAGGGAGGGAGCTCATCTACTCAACAGTGATGAGACGAGGTAGTGGTGCAGACACAGGGAGGGAGCTCATCTACTCAACAGTGATGAGACAAGGTAGTAGTGCAGACAGGGAGGGAGGGAGGGAGCTCATCTACTCGACAGTGATGAGACGAGGTAGTGGTGCAGACAGGGAGGGAGGGAGGGAGGGAGCTCATCTACTCGACAGTGATGAGACGAGGTAGTGGTGCAGACAGGGAGGGAGGGAGGGAGGGAGCTCATCTACTCGACAGTGATGAGACGAGGTAATGGTGCAGACACAGGGAGGGAGCTCATCTACTCAACAGTGATGAGACGAGGTAGTGGTGCAGACAGGGAGGGAGGGAGCTCATCTACTCAACAGTGATGAGACGAGGTAGTGGTGCAGACACAGGGAGGGAGCTCATCTACTCAACAGTGATGAGACGAGGTAGTGGTGCAGACAGGGAGGGAGCTCATCTACTCAACAGTGATGAGACGAGATAGTGGTGCATACACAGGGAGGGAGCTCATCTACTCAAGAGTGATGAGACGAGGTAGTGGTGCAGACAGGGAGGGAGGGAGCTCATCTACTCGACAGTGATGAGACGAGATGTGGTGCATACACAGGGAGGGAGCTCATCTACTCAACAGTGATGAGGCGAGGTAGTGGTGCAGACAGGGAGGGAGCTCATCTACTCGACAGTGATGAGACGAGATGTGGTGCATACACAGGGAGGGAGCTCATCTACTCAACAGTGATGAGACGAGGTAGTGGTGCAGACAGGGAGGGAGGGAGCTTATCTACTCGACAGTGATGAGACGAGGTAATGATGCAGACACATTGAGGGAGCTCATCTACTCAACAGTGATGAGACGAGGTAGTAGTGCAGACACAGGGAGGGAGCTCATCTACTCAACAGTGATGAGTTGAGATAGTTGTGCACACAGGGAGGGAGGGAGCTCATCTACTCGACATTGATGAGACGAGGTAGTGGTGCAGACACAGAGAGGGAGCTCATCTACTCAATAGTGATGAGACAAGGTAGTGGTGCAGACAGTTAGGGAGGGAGCTCATCTACTCAACAGTGATGAGACGAGGTAGGGGTGCAGACACAGGGAGGGAGCTCATCTACTCAACAGTGATGAGACAAGGTAGTGGTGCAGACAGGGAGGGAGGGAGGGAGCGCATCTACTCGACAGTGATGAGACGAGGTAGTGGTGCAGACACAGGGAGGGAGCTCATCTACTCAACAGTGATGAGACGAGGTAGTGGTGCAGACAGGGAGGGAGGGACGGAGCTCATCTACTCAACAGTGATGAGACGAGGTAGTGGTGCAGACAGGGAGGGAGGGAGGGAGCTCATCTACTCGACAGTGATGAGACGAGGTAGTAGTGCAGACACAGGGAGGGAGCTCATCTACTCAACAGGGATGAGACGAGGTAGTGGTGCAGACAGGGCGGGAGGGAGGGAGCTCATCTACTCGACAGTGATGAGACGAGGTAGTGGTGCAGACAGGGAGGGAGGGAGGGAGCTCATCTACTCGACAGTGATGAGACGAGGTAATGGTGCAGACACAGGGAGGGAGCTCATCTACTCAACAGTGATGAGACGAGGTAGTAGTGCAGACAGGGAGGGAGGGAGGGAGCTCATCTACTCGACAGTGATGAGACGAGGTAGTGGTGCAGACACAGGGATGGAGCTCATCTACTCAACAGTGATGAGACGAGGTAGTGGTGCAGACAGGGAGGGAGCTCATCTACTCGACAGTGATGAGACAAGGTAGTGGTGCAGACAGGGAGGGAGGGAGCTCACCTACTCGACAGTGATGAGACGAGATAGTGGTGCATACACAGGGAGGGAGCTCATCTACTCAACAGTGATGAGATGAGGTAGTGGTGCAGACAGGGAGGGAGGGAGCTCATCTACTCGACAGTGATGAGACGAGATGTGGTGCATACACAGGGAGGGAGCTCATCTACTCAACAGTGATGAGACGAGGTAGTGGTGCAGACAGGGAGGGAGGGAGCTTATCTACTCGACAGTGATGAGACGAGGTAATGGTGCAGACACATTGAGGGAGCTCATCTACTCAACAGTGATGAGACAAGGTAGTAGTGCAGACACAGGGAGGGAGCTCATCTACTCAACAGTGATGGGACAAGGAAGTGTTGCAGACACAGGGAGGGAGCTCATCTACTCAACAGTGATGAGTTGAGATAGTTGTGCACACAGGGAGGGAGGGAGCTCATCTACTCGACATTGATGAGACGAGGTAGTGGTGCAGACACAGAGAGGGAGCTCATCTACTCAATAGTGATGAGACAAGGTAGTGGTGCAGACAGTTAGGGAGGGAGCTCATCTACTCAACAGTGATGAGACGAGGTAGGGGTGCAGACACAGGGAGGGAGCTCATCTACTCA